GCGGAAAGCGCACCAAAGCACTTCTTGGGGGGAGGGTGTAGGGTAGCTTGGGAACCTGTCTGCTGAGGGTTGGCTTACCTGCATCATGGCAGCCTGGGTTACGAAGATCCATGGTTAGTAACCTGCTTACTGTTTAGATACCAACCTGTTTTAGAGCTCCTTCCTATGATTCCCGTGTAAGGGAAGGTTTTTGGGGCCTTAAGGTAGGGTTTAGGGTTCCATGCCTTGTAAAGCTTCGTACTCCGTGAACCCGAGAGAACCGATAAACTCCAACTTCCGACCATAAGGGGCTACAACAGAGTCTGCAGCAGGGGCGGCAGTTTCATAGCTTGAGGCCCTCTTAATTCCGACTCTGCCCGTGGCTCCCCGATCCCCGTCGTGTCGTCTGGGCAGCGCAAGTTTGCAATGGAGTGAGGAGCAACGCTTGGTGCGTCTCGCACAGTCACTTAAAAAGGAGCGCAGACTCGCAGCAGGAACCTCCCCCAACGGCAGAGTGTGAATGTAAAGCAAGGCAGTGCATCCCAAGTGGGATGAGCCCCTACCGTGGCAGCACCCCCTTGACCGACGACGTCTTTCAAGGCGCCTAGTTTCTGGAAAACGAAGACACAAGCAAGTCGCAACATTCATGCACAGGTCTGCTTGGTATGACCCCCGGAATGAACTCTGAAACGACAGCGACAAAGCCTAGGATCCCCGGTGCGAGACATTTGTTGGGGCACCCGGCTTAGGACGTAGAACAGGCCGTCCTCACACTTGGATGTCTGGGTCTGGCTCTGAGTATACCAAGCGGCTCGCAGTCCCTAAACCCTAAGCCCCTTGTAAACCCAAGAACCAACCCTTGAATCTCTAACAATCCTGAAAACCGTTACAGCCCTCATAACCCTGATAACCTTCAAAAGAACTAAACCCTACATCCTGAACACTATAAACCCTTTGATCATGAAGTCCCAAAGCCTTTAGGCCCTAGAGCCTTGCGAGGGGTCCCAGAGCCACCTACGAGTAGATTGTGAGAAGTTGCATTTAAAGTCTACAACCACAACGAGGGGCCATGAAGGTGCTCCACCAAATTCACCCCGAGGATTCTGATCTTGATGCTATACCGCCGACACCCGGATGCTCGAAGGTCACACAGCAGTACCTTGAGGCCCCGAGAAACCCGACAAACATGTGAAGCCAGCGATTTTGGGTTGCAGGCCTCGGGTCCCCAACACCCCAAGTGCGACAGAGTGCGAGCATCTCGGAGAGGAGTCGGAAAGGGCGAACCCCCACCCATTCTAGGGCTTGGGCTTTAGAGCTTAGGTGTTGAACAGCCTTGGCAGATTACTTAGTCTAGTTGAATACCAGGAAACACCAACGACATTCATGAACGACATTTGCAAACAGGATGAAACGGAAAATGCCAGAACATGGGCCAAGCCAAAGCAAAATACAAGCTTCACTGAAACCCTAAACCGTAAACCCCACTCGGCTCTGGACATCGCGATGCGAGATTTTGGCAAACGCCCAGGCCTGATTTGGGACTTTCCGAAGATTAGGGTTCAGGGTTTAGGGATTTTGGGGTCCTTAGAATAAGGATCCTACTATTTAGGTACTATATTTGGGTCCCCTATTTTCGGAAACTCCCATTTGAAGGTAAGAAACCACACAGCCATTCCATCTATATGTGCACGTATGTGCACACATGCACATTCTGCATCAATACAGCAGGTATACACATGCATGGATAAGATGTATACATGCACATGAACATATGCGTGAGTAGATGTATATGCTTGCATCTAGATGTAGAGACACAGACCCATACGAATGTATACATAATGTATACATACATACATGCATGAATGCATGCATACATACACACATACACACGCACATACATACATACATACATACATACATACATACATACATACATACATACATACATACATACATACATATATATATATATACATAGAGAGAGAGCGCGAGAGGCGAGAGGGAGTGTGTGTCCGTATGTGTGTGTATATATATATATACACGTATATATATATATATATATATACACGTATATATACATATCTTTATATATACACACATATACACATCTATATATAATATAATATATACATAAACGCACATGTGCGTATGTGCGTACCTGTGCGTGTATAGGGTAGTATACCAGTACATGCAAACACACACAGAAGCAAACCCCATATGGTCTGTACCTTTCAAACCCAAGGCAAACAGCGAACCACGCAGAAAAAAACTACACTCCACATCCCGGCCGGCCTTCGTACCTGCCGACTTCAAAGCTGCTGTGATTTGAACCATCTCTGCCTGGCCGGCTTTGGGGCATGAAGCTCCGAGCGCTGGGCCCACAATATCAGCAGGGAGAGCGGAGGTGCGACAAACGGCGCAGGGCGAGTATCTTGCAGGGATTTCATACAAGCGGCCCCTGGCACGCCATGGCAGCCCACGACAAGCATCCGCTGAATGCCACTGCAGACTGTAATGAATGTCCGCCCACACGCTTCAGAATGTGATGGCTACTAATGACAGGTTCGACTTACAAGAGATGTGCGAACTACACACTTGGCTGCAATCCGCCAACGAATTAGCTACAAGTAGTTGAAGACTGACGACGTCCGAGCTCTGGGGAAGACTGCCTGCATAGTGGAGCTCTCCACCTAGCCTAGCCTATTAAACCCCTAAGCCCTAAACCGCTCCAACCATACAGCCCTAGGTCCCAAAGCAAGCTCGGCCTTGATGTTCTTCACCTGCAAAGCTAATTTTCTCACATATGTGGAGTGTTCCAACACAGGGCTTCTAAACTGGATCCCCGTGAAGGGATCTATGTGCTTAACGATCAGGTTTAGTCATGAAGAAGCGTCAAAGCAGGCTGAAACGCTGTCAATCACTTTCGAGTAGGCTGTACTAGCATGTTGTCTGTCGGCAGCCCACTAGGTTCGCTATCCGGCTTTAGCAACTGCCCGCCCTTGTGCTGGGATTGCTTAACGGGCCGCCCCCGTTGCACAGCAGTCGTTGTTGCTAAGAGTCGCCGTGGTCGTGGGTGTGGCCGTGGCCGTGGACGGGGGCATTGGCGTGGTCGCAGGCACGGTCGTGGTGGTCGTGGTCGTCGTCGTCGTAGTCGTAGCAGTCACAGCAGCAGCAGCGGCAGCAGTAACAGTAGCAGTAGCAGCAGAGGTTGAAGTAGCAGTAGCAGTAGCAACAGCAGTAGCACTAGCAGTAGCAGCAGTAGCAGCAGCAGGAGCAGGAGCAGCAGCAGCAGGAGCAAAGGAGCAGGAGCATAGTACTAGTACTAGTACCAGTACTAGTACTAGTACTCATACTAGTACTAGTACTAGTACTAGTAGTAGTACTAGTAGTAGTCGTCGTCGTCGTGCTGGTGGTGGTGGTGGCGGAGGTGGTGGCGGTGGTGCTGGTGCTGCTGCTGCTGCTGCTGCTGCTGCGGCTAGTGCTAGTGCCAGTGCTAGTGCGAGTGCGAGTGCGAGTGCGAGTGCGAGTGCTAGTGCTAGTGCTAGTGCTAGTGCTAGTGCTAGTGCTAGCGCTGCTAGTGCTAGTGCTAGCGCTAGTGCTAGTGCTAGTGCTAGTGCTAGTGCTAGTGCTAGTGCTAGTGCTAGTGCGAGTGCGAGTGCGAGTGCGAGTGCTAGTGCTAGTGCTAGTGCTAGTGCTAGCGCTGCTAGTGCTAGTGCTAATGCTAGTGCTAGTAGTAGTGCTAGTAGTAGTGCTAGTAGTAGTGCTAGTAGTAGTGCTAGTAGTAGTGCTAGTAGTAGTGCTAGTAGTAGTAGTCGTCGTCGTCGTGGTGGTAGTCGTAGCAGTTGTTGTTGTTGTCGTTGCAGAAGTAGGAGTAGAAGAAGGAGCAACAGCAGCAGCAGCAGCAGCAGCAGCGGCTCTTCTGCAATAGGCTGCCAGTGCGCCAGTAGCTACTTATGCAAAACAAGAGCAAGCTAGAGTCAAGACCTCAGCCGCAATGCCAAAGAACCCTACAAACCACCCCGAGAGCCTGAACCAACAAATCCTAAATCCCAAGAGCCATGAAACCTAAGGCCCTTGACAAAGCCCCAAAGCCCAGAAGCCTAAAGCCTTAGCCCCGAAGACCATGATTCTACCTAAACTTCCAACTACCCTGCACTCTATACCTCCATCAGTTTAGTAGTATGCTATCTTTGCAACTTGGAGGTTTGGGGGTGATGAGTCCTCAAGGGGCCAATGGCCGGGAGATGGGGAAGCCTCCCGTCGCAGTAACAGCTGGGCCGCCCCTTTCAGCAGAATGCTCGCGAGCGTGATGCGGGGTGTATCCTCGACGACCTTTTCCCCCGCGTTCTGGACTACGGTTGATGATATAAATCCTGCATTACCCATAATAAGGAATATACCATAATACCCATAGTTTAGGGTCCTTAAGGTAATGCAGGATTTATATCATCAACAGTAGGTCCCTGGACCACGCCTTGTGCTCTCGCTTCCTTTGGGAAGCCACTTGCTCCCAAAGGCCTCGGCTATGGGTTGCAAGTCTAGTTACCCTACTTCTTACCCCACCTACAACTACCCATGAACCTCCAACGCGCCCTGCAACACCCTCATAAAGAGCTTTGCTAGAATCCTGTTCTAAAGCACCATACACCCAAAATCCTGAACACCAAAGCAGTAGACCTACCACTTTAAACCATCCTAAACGCCATAAACCTTACATCATGCTAAAGCACAGAAGATTCTTGCCAGAACATTGTAAGAGCTTTGTAGAACCCTTTCAAACAAACTTACAGAGCCCTCACGTCCTGAAGAAACGAAACCTTCAACCCTAAGCCCTAAACAGCTACAACCCAAAAACCTGAACCTTAATCCCTAAACCCTGAGCCCCTATACTATCCTAACAGGTATCCCTTAAACCCTAAACCCTATATCCTTGTGGTATCCCTTATAGCTCCCTTCACGGAGCCCTTAAAGTTCCCTAAACCCTAAACCCTAAACCCCCCAAACCCTAAACCCTAAACCCTTTACCCCCAGCCTTCACTGGGAATTCCTTCGTCGCCGGGGGTCTCTGGGCGGGTTTCCCGACTCTGCCGCCCGGCCGCGAGCACCTGAACAGAGCTTAGGGTTTAGGTTTTAGGGTTTAGGGTTTAAGGTTTAGGGTTTAAGGTTTAGGTTTTTGGGTTTTAGGTTTGGTAACTTTCAGGGCTTGTGCTTCCTGATAGTTTGGCCTGAATGCTTACTAACATGATTCCTGCAGGTTGCGTATATATACTATTAATATATACATATATTTATATAATCTATCATAGTGTGTCTATACGATGATCTACCGCAGAACACTGGCCGAGCAGTAAGGCCCCTATATGCGGAGAATGCCCTTATGGAAAATCCCCCATAAAGGAAGCCCCTGTTTTAAAGTTTGAAGGCTTTTGAGGCTCCCTTAAAATTGCATCAATTCAAATACCTGGACGGTCCGGCCCATATATGCGACCACTATGGATTTAGGTCCCGAAGGACCATCCTCATTATGGTTTCTGGGGCCCGAAAGCATAATGGACCCTCTGGGGTACTGATAAGTTAAAGGGTTCTATAAAGGGGTTGCCATGGGGGCTTTAGGATCGTTAAATTTTTAAATTTGTTGACATGGCTTTGGCTACCTGGATGCCTTTTGGCCTAACAAGTAGGGCTAGCAAGCTGGATTGGCCTAATTTCGAGGAACTTCGACGGGAACGTGTACGGGATACGGATTTATTTGGGGTAGGGTTGGGGGTTGCGAGAATTCCTTCTTTACGGGCTCCTTTGAGGAGTTAGGGGTGGGGTTTAAATTCAAACGAGCCAAGAGCCTGCCAGTTTTTATGTGTGTCTTACATACTATGATTAGAGGAAGCCTGAGGCCCCAAACCTTATAAGCTGTCGAGAGCGCCGCCGCTGACGATTCGGTTGGCACTCGAGGCTCCGACCGAGACCCTCCCGGTCCGGTCCACCAGCCTCCAGTGCCTTCCCGACACTCTTCGGCATTATTTCGGTACCCCTCTGTTTATCCTCCATTGCAAGGACGGCCCACACCTGCCAACATGTCGAGCGACCTTCACAGGGTGCGAGGGGCGGGTTGTTTCTCGTCGAGAGGCCGGCGCAGGACGCGAGGACCCACAACCCGACACCAATCCATCTCAGCTGTGGTTTGCTGCCGTTTTGTTGTTTTGTTGTTGTAGAACTGCAAAGGGAAGCAAGGAGCAAGAAAGCCCCCCTTGAGGGGGGTTTTGGCGGGTGAGCCCGAAACCCTAGTTCAGAATAGTTGGGGTGGTTGGGGTGGGACTACGTGCTGACGCCAGTGGGTGCGCCCGCCTTCCTAAAGCAAAAGCGCCCCACCGTGCACGCACTCTATACACACCCTACACCCTAAACCGTTTTGCAATCATTTAGGCTTCATATTACAGATCTAGCACCTGCATCCTAGAACCAGAAGCCCAAAGACCTTCCGCCCTGAACCCTAAACCGTTTAGGGCTTAGGGTTTGGGGTATTTTAGGGGTTTAAGGGTTTAGGGGTTCAGGGGTTTCGGGTTTAGGGGTTTCCCAAATGCAAACTCAGAAAACCCCAAACCTACTCTGCACCTCGCCTCCTCCCAATGTAGGAAGCTCCAAGAAAAGTTGCCCTCAGTCGACTTCTCAGCGATTGACCCACGGGAGAGGAGAGCTTCCTCAGCTGCAATTTATGGGGTTTAAGATGTAAGGTTTAGGGTTTAGGGTTTTGGAAGTTTGGGGTTTAGGATTCCAGGATTTGGCTGGAGCTGTTTGGAGCGCAGCTATTTGGGTTCCGCTTTTTGGGTGATATGTATAGGGCTTTGGTTAAAAAGTTGTGTTACGTGATATGTCCAGGGTCTCGGTTAATAAGATTTGTTACGGTCTATAAGTTATAGAGTTTATAGGATTCGTAAATTCGCGGCATCTAAACAGTCTAGACATCATCAGCGAAGGATCCAGAAACTTAATCAGTCTAACAGGGCACAGTGCTACTAGGTATCCAATCCTACATCATAATCCTTAGCCTTCATATTACTCGGGCAGTTCATGCTCAGATACGGAGAGGAGTGTTGGCCTCCTCGCAAGTTATCCTTGGAGAAAACTTAAACATTTCCCATTCAGCAGGTCGTCAAACATTAGGATTCAGGAGTTTGGGTTGAGGGTCTTGGGTTTAGGGTGTGCTGTTGCCCTTTGCAGCTACTTGCATGAACTCTAACTTGAGGATAAAACCTGAAAACCTTTTTCTTGCAGTCGAACATGGGCCCATGCTCCACCGCAAAGCCACATCCGTCAAGGTCGACACTTTGCCAAGTGGTCCATCTCGTGACCGACACGATCGCAAAGGTCCCTAAACCCCACTTCCTTATAAGCCCTAAACCCTAAACCCTAATCCCGAAACCCCCAGAAAACAGGTGGCTTTTCATCAGCCGACTAACTTGTGAAGCTCCGCGTCCCTCCCTTCCTTCACGGCCATGAACTGCATAGGGCTTAGGGTTTAGGGTTAGGGTTTAGGGTTTAGGGTTTAGGGTTTAGGGATTTAGGGATTTAGGGTTTGTGGTTGGGTGGGTTTCCTGTCGCTGCTAAGCAATCCTAAACTCAGACACAATAGACCCCTTGGGCCCGAAATAGCGGCATCAGTCCCTAGACGAAGCAACCTTCAGAAGTCCTAAATCCCTAAACACTAATAGATACCTCCAACATTCAAATCCTCATCCCTGAAACTTGTGGCGAGCAGGCCATTAATTAGTTCGTTAAGAAGCCCAATAGAACCGCCGAAAAAGGCCCGAAGCCCTACCGTAACCTACCAAAACCTACTTTTGTGGAAAACGAGTAGGTTTTGGTAGTGCAACGTATAAACTCAGTATAAACCCTATATACTCTGTCCCCCCGAACCCTAGACCACCCCGAAGCGCGCGAAAGATGCCCTTCAAAAGGGCCGGAGCTCGAGGCCTTATAGTGTTTAGAGTTCATAGGCTTTAGGAACCCCAAAATACCCCAAAATACCCCAAACCCCAAAACTCGAACCCAAAACCCCCCAACTCGGACCCTTAAGCTCTACAAAAATTAAGGCACCCTGCCAAAAACAGGCTGAAGGCTCGAAACCTGCTGGTTGCATCTTTACCCTGGCGGCTTCCGTCTCAGCGTCGCTGCCGGCCTCATCCGGAGAGAGAGCTGGGTCTGTACAGGGATTTGAGCTTGAGGGCATTGGGATCCCTAGCATTTTTGTGCGCGGGCTTGGGGCTTCGGGTTTAGGATTTCGGCGTTTAGGGCACAGTGGCATCGGGCTTAGGAGTCAGAGGGTTTCGGAGTTCAGGATTGGGGATTTTGGGGCCTTCACAGTTTGTGAAGGGGCCCGGAAGCCACTTAGGGGACTTCGGCAAGCTACTGTAGACGGGTTGATACATACCCCTCCCTTCGTGAGAGTTTTTTGCCTGGCGCCCTAATTAATACGTCACTGGTACATTCGGACCATCAGTTATAACCACCCCAAAACGACTCTCAAGCTGTTTGCTCAATCTTACATCCTTCGCCCTGAAACCTCTATCCCAGAAATCCTGAAAACTTGGGTTTAAGGTTTGGGGTTTAGGG